TATCGATATATTTATTAATAATCAATCTCATAGAGTATATCAATATCCAATGCTAATCCCCAAAAACACCCTTAAAGAAGACATTTAATAAGATTTTCTGATACTTATGAATGGCAAATTGAAAATAATCAATCTCATATAGTATACGAAATAAACCCGTTTCCACAAATGATGTTTCATGAAAATGTTAAAATTCTTTTATTATATTAAAATTAGAAAATAGAAATCAAATCTTTGATTTGCAGAATTTTTTTTATAATCCCAAGGAGGGCAAATAAAATAAATATATGCTTGACTAAGTCAAATTTCGATGCAAAATATCCATGGCACTCTAGCATTCACTGATTTTATTTTATTTATTAACTCATATATTATTTATATATTTTTTAAGAAATTAATTTCGACATACAAGATTGGAAAATACTTTGACTGCATTTTCTTAATATACTATCTTTTAAATATTTTAATTTATTTTCTTTGCTCGTATCGACGTCAAGCCATATAGTTGACAAATTCTAACATGAAAGGGCTTTTATTTATTGGTTAAAAAAAATTAATTATCATAAAATTATAAAAAATATATTTGAGAGAGAGAGAGAGAGAGAGAGAGAACAAAAGAACAAATTGCATTAATATTATCGATGGAATGAGAATCCATGCAAAGAAATTAATGTGCCAAGTGGATATGCTGTCGATTCTTTGCCATTGAACAAACTGATCAAATGACAACTGCTCTTAATTGTCTCATTTTGCCTTGGGAAGTGAGCTTGAACTTTTTTATGGTGTCTTTTGACGTGCACATGTGACATTGATTAATGCAATGTTCTGAAAATCGGATCGGACAATAACCCGTTTAAGGATCTGGTTTTCAGTTTGACCGGTTTGATCGGTTAGATCGGTCGGTTGGACCGTAATTTGTAAAATTTTTTTAGTCTTTACAGGTTTAAAATTTATCAAAAACACCCTTTAATACTCCCTTAAGGTTTGAAATCTATCTAAAACACCCCTGTCATGCGAAGATTCTGGTGAGTGGTGACGGCAGCGATGATCTACGGCCAATCGAAGCTGGAATCTTGGGGCTTTTGATGTGTAGGTGCCGGCGACTCTGATGATGGTGCCAAGGAGTTCCATCGGCGCCGGAAATCGCCGGAATCAACAAAATAACTCTGACGGTCGCGTGAAGTTTAGGTGGACGGCGAGCGACGATGGCTGGACGACGGCCACTGAAAATGGCAGGGTTTTGTAGTGGAGATGCCGTCAAGTCTAATGGCGGTGATTTCTCCCTCGATCGGTGCCGGAATCCGACAGGATTCAACCGCGATTGGACCGCGATTCGGTACTATTCTGACAGTCCAACCGCGGTCCAATCCGGTTTAAATGCAAATAACGGTTTTTTACTTATTCTGGATCGGAAATGCCGTCGGTCATCGATCGAACCGGTCCGATCGGACGGTCCGGTCCGGTTTTTAGAACCTTGGATTAATGTAAACACATTATGATTAAAAAAACGAAAAAAAGACAAAAAGACAAAATTCAGACTCCGGCTAAATGTCTTATACATTTATGATAGGATTTGAGGTGAGTCTGAATAAAGTTTTGTATTGAATAAGAAGGTTACCCACCCTTATAATCTAATAGACTTAAACGTGTTTAATCTTGGTGAGATTTCAACATTTTCCGCTAGAGAAGGTCCATCAAGAATTAATGTAGATATTTTTATTAAAGTATAGGCAATTTCCATTGGTTTTAGACTTTGTCAAAAATTATACTAATTTCATATTTGAAAGATGACAGTCCAGAACAAACAACACCGACATAAATCTTATAAAGGTGAAGATATTTTTCGTGCTTCTCAAAAGTAAATTCACTATATAACTTTTAAAATGGATCTATTAATACTTAATTAATAAAAAAATTTTGAAAATTGAGGAAAATAAGTTTTTTTTTTTTTTAAATTTTAGAAAATTGTGCATGTTCTGAAGAATAATAATAAAAATAATAAAGATGTGGAGAGGATGCAGCGAAGGGCCTTTCTAGTGTTTCAAACTCATTTTAAACAATTTTCAAATATANTTCACTGCATTTTCTTAATATACTATCTTTTAAATATTTTAATTTATTTTCTTTGCTCGTATCGACGTCAAGCCATATAGTAGAAAAATTCTAACATGAAAGGGCTTTTATTTATTGGTTAAAAAAAATTAATTATCATAAAATTATAAAAAATATATTTGAGAGAGAGAGAGAGAGAGAGAGAGAGAGAACAAAAGAACAAATTGCATTAATATTATCGATGGAATGAGAATCTTTGCAAAGAAATTAATGTGCCAAGTGGATATGCTGTCGATTCTTTGCCATTGAACAAACTGACCAAATGACAACTACTCTTAATTGTCTCATTTTGCCTTGGGGAGTAGAGCTTGAACTTTTCTATGGTGTCTTTTGACGTGTACATGTGACATTGATTAATGTAAACACTTTATGATTAAAAAAACAAAAAAAACACAAAATTCACTGTCACGACTCTAAATAAATTATGAGAAATTTCTTATGATAGAATTTGAGGTGAATCTGACTCCTCATCTAATAAAGTTTTATTGAATAAGAAGATTATTCACCCTTATAATCTAATAAATTTTAGCGTGTTTAGTCGATGTAAGACTTCAACACTTCCCTCATTATCAAGCCTATATGTTGGGTTATGTCTATTGATAGAGGTAGTTGTTAACTCTAACTCTTTATCCGTGGTCAAACACTCAACTTAAATGAGCCTAGCTCTAATACCATGATCGAATTTCAGATGGATTTGACTCCTTACCCAATAAAGTTTTGTTGAATAGAAGAATGACCCTTTCTTATAAACTAATAGGTTTAAACGTGTCTAGTCAGTTTTGGTTTCTAACACTTTCGCCCTTACCGTTGGGCTACCCATGAGTGGATTAATCAATTGATGTTGTTATGGCCAGTTTGATATTATTGTGACTTCTAAGCAATGACAATTAGTTGTGCTCACGAGCAAGAAATAAGCATTAGTGGATCGATTTTAACCGTCTGATATCAATTACCAAATGGTCTTAAGGATAGATTTTACTCTACTTTTGAACTCTCGTACCATAAAATTCCCTATATTTTCCTAATTTACTATTTTAACCTACCCAAAATTTATTAAAAACCTTTGAATTTATGTTCTACCTAATATTATGACTTATGCATGATTGCATTTATGTAGAGATCAACCTTAAACCATAATTGCGAGCATTGATGTGTTGGTCCATAACCCATTTTTGTTAATTAAATAGCCTTACTCTATTTTCTCATTAAAACAAATATTAATTTATATTACCCACCCATGGGTAGGTTACTGTAAGATAACTTTCTTTAAAGATTAGTTGATACGTGTGTAAACTGATTCGAACACCTGAGTTAATAAAAAAAAGAAAAAAAAAATTATATTAGTACTTCAATTTAATTTAGAAAATGTGGTCCCTTATGTCTTGTACTTGGGTTATATATTAAAAAAAAAAAAAAATTAAATTGATAATATTCTATATATTTTTAGGCTTTTTCGATAAGATCTATAAACTTTTTAGTTGAAATAATCTTATAATAATTATTTCTAATTTTGTTTTTATAGTGAAAATTATAAGGGGAAGAAATTAAATATCATTACCAATTTTGGTAATTGATTTTTATTGACTCTAGAGAAGGTCCATCAAGAATTAATGTAGATATTTTTATTAAAGTATAGGCAATTTCCATTGGTTTTAGACTTTGTCAAAAATTATACTAGTTTCATATTTGAAAGATGACAGTCCAGAACAAACAACACCGACATAAATCTAATAAAGGTGAAGATATTTTTCGTGCTTCTCAAAAGTAAATTCACTATATAACTATTAATACTTAATTAATAAAAAATTTGTGAAAATTGAGGAAAATAAGTTTTTTTTTTTTTTAAATTTTAGAAAATTGTGCATGTTCTGAAGAATAATAATAAAAATAATAAAGGCGTGGAGAGGATGCTGCGAAGGGCCTTTCTAGTGTTTCAAACTCATTTTAAACAATTTTCAAATATATTTGTACGATATTCTTTTCCACAAAATAAATTTTGTATGGCTTTAACCCATGAGACCGTGCATGACTTTAATATATAGTCTCAAGTTCGATTTCTCATTACCTATGATTTATTTGGAGGACTACAACGGTAGGTTATTGTGGGATAGCTTCGCTAAATATTAGTTGAGAAACGTATAAGTTGATTTGGACATCTCAATTAAAAAAAGAAAAAGAAAAAAAAAGTTTTCATTAGATTTTTGAATTGAAAAGTGGAAAATCCTATTTTTATAACACAACATAAACATTTTATAACATTATCACTTTTAATAGACTTTTACATCATAGTTGAAACTTTACCTTGATAACGTATTATATTATTTATTCATATATTTAAAAAAAAAAATCACAAATTTTTATGAAATGTATTTGCCTTGGTTATTTTCGATTACATTTTTTTTTATTTTTTAACAAAATAGTTTAAATACTTTTCTAAAATGTTAAATTTTTTTGAAAAAATTTACGAATCTTTTACTTAGGATCATAGTGACATTACTCTATCTAAAGTCTCACATCATAGTCGATAACATCACCTTCCATAGATTTTTATATCACAATCGAACGGTTCAGATGATGTAATGATACCTCAACAACATATTGTACTTTTATTTATTTATTTACAAATTATTTAAGAAAATTTTTTTATAAACATTTTAACTTTAGTCTTGTTAAATTCTTACATCATGGTTTGAATTGAATGGTTGAAATAACGTAATATTATATTGAGTAACTTACCTTAATAATATATATTATTTACTTTATTAATAATTATAATTTTTTAAATAAATTAAAAAATAGTTATTTTTATTTTTATTTATGAAAAATAGTTCCCTTAGTGGGCTATATATTGCCTCTTGCCATTGTGTCTCACTCATTGTTCAACTCACTTTCTCTTCTGTGGAGGAAAATTTTCAAGCTGCTTACATTCCAAATACCGTCCAAACCCATCAATCTTTTTCATCAATCAATCCTTCAATGGCTCTAAAGCTTTCTCCTTTCACCGCCCAATCGCACAAAGTTCCTTCATTTGCTCTTCCTCAAATGGCCAGTCTCAGATCTCCCAAGTTTTCCATGGCTTCCACTCTTCGCTCTAACTCCAAGTGAGTCCTCTCATTTCATTCCCCTTTTCTTTTTCTTTTCGTTCTTGCTTTTCTCTCTCTAGTTTGCGTTTTTCTTGTTTTTCGGCTGATCTTGGATCTGGGTTTTGTTTTTTTCACCCTCTAATTTTGCTCCTTAATGAGTTTCTTCATCTGGGTCTGTTTTGATCTTGTTGTTTAAGCCTTGGATGCATTGCTGTTTTGTACTTGTTTGGTTTGGTATTTTTGGTGAAGTTTTCATCTTGTTGCTTCATTTTTTTTAATCAAATTTTTAATTTTTGTGATATGGGGATTTCTTTTTGTTGTGAAATTTGTGGGTTTGGTTTGAGTTTTCTCATGGTTCTGATTCATTCAAGTTTATGAATTTGGTGTTTTTCAGTTTGGTGGAGGAATGATTTTGTGGTTATACTGTATTTTTTCAATTTGTTCATTTCATTTAACTTTAATTTGTGGAGGTGTATGCAGTGATTACGATATTTGTTTTTTATTTCCTATTAAAAGATTGGTATGACTTTGTGATTTTGATTTTGATTGTGATGGCTGATTTTTCTTTGTTTTAATTACTGCCAGTGTAGCATGATTCATGAATTTTAATGACACAATAAAATGAAAGAGAGGCTGAAACTGCTTTTCAACAATGGTCAAATACCGTGTTTTTGCATTTTCAAGGCCATTTAAGAAATTCAAAACAAGTTTTTCATGAGGTGGTTGGAATTGGTTCCATTTGATTTGGTGGTTTTTATGCAATCCCTGATTTCATATTAATGCACAATTTTCTGTATGTCATTTTCCATTAGGTGGGGTTGGAGTTGGTTTAAGATATTTAATTTTTCCTATTATTCATTTTCATAACTTGGAATGTCTGTTTTCATTGGCATTAATTGAAGGGTTAATTCATGGATATTTTTGGTCCTTATTATTTTGTTTCTTACAATGTTTCTGCTGCTGATTTTACCTAGGTGAATATTCCCGTGCATATAATTTCTGGATGCCCCCAATTTAATTTGTTTTATTTCATCTATTATTATATTATTTATTGTGTCAAGTGTGTGCATGCCTGCCCAGCTGTTTGTTTCTTATGTTCTTGGTGGTTGAAGTTGTTTGTCTTTATTTGGAAACTTCTTGAATGATGATGTATTTTCCAGCTTTAGGACAGGCCATACTCAGTTGGGAACTAATGGCTTTTTGGTTTTTACTTCTACCGCTTTAACATGCTTTTGTTATGTTTTTCATGTATTGTTCATTTGTTCATTACTATTCACTTTTGTGATTTTCAAATATGATCAATGATTCTTGATGTACTTTTTTTGGTTCAAATTTGCATAGCAGGCTTAGTGCTTATGTTGGCGATCCTTAAGACCATTTCGGTTGGCGAGTTTATGTCATATTTTTCGCTTTTGCCATTTTATTTATCTTTCCTTTTGTCCTTCTCAAATTGTGGTTGAATCTACATCTTGAGAAAGGAGATTCAAGTTGGTGAACGTAGTTTGGATACCTTTATGCATAGATTCTCCATTTTTATAATCCATCCTTTGCATTGTATAATAGTTGGTGGATCTTTGACTTATTTTTAAACTGCAGCTTTAGTTCAAGGAACCGGTAAAATTCTTTGTTACGGTTCTAAATGGTGAAAAAACTCTTTGTGAAATTATTTTGAGCTGACTTTGTTTTGTCTCGTTGTTACTTGCGAAATAATCTTTGTAGCTATTCTACCAGTGGAACTACTCTTTTTTGAAATTATTTTGAACTAATCATTGTTTTGTCTTGTTAATCACAAATTAATCTTTGCAGCTAATATACCATTGGAAGTTTCTGTATGCATGCTTTTCTTTTTCCAATTACAAATGATTTTATTGAATTATTATATGATTTAGTCTCAATTATTTCTCTTTGTTTAATAATGTCCATTGCTTTTTAAACTTTGATCAACCAATACTTGCTCTGTTCGTTGATTCGTATTCTAAAACATGTTTTGTCCTTCTAATTATTGTTTATGTTTTTTGAAGTAAAAAAACACTAGTTGGTGAACCTAGTTTTGGTGAGCAATCATATCACATCAATTTTCTTGTTTGACATTTCCTAACTTGTAGTAGCTGCTGGTCATGTTTGGAGGAATGGAGGAAATCTTTATTTTACTCTCTTCTGATTCGCTTCTCCTTGTTTTGGTTTTGGTAGTTATTAGTGAACTACTTTGTTGTGGTCCTGCCTTATTTAAAATAAAAGATTTATGGTGTCCATAAACGTAAAATGTTATTTATATTCTCTCATGAGTGTCTTATTCTGATAAATCGCACAAATGATACATTTTGAGTATCTGACAATCGGCCTGAGCTTTTGGAACCCTGATATCTTTCCCCTCTGAGATGCTAGATTACAAAATTTCAGTCAAATGACAATTTAATTTTGCCATATAAGTTATTTATGTACCTACTACATCGTAGATGACAAAAGCATGGCCAAGTAGTTTATCAATTCATGTGTTTGTGATGAATCCAGTCTTAAACCACGTTGAGAAAATGTAAATAACTGCATGAACATTATATTTGTCCAGGTTTAATTTTGTTTGTATATGTATGAACTACAAAACCACAGAATTGTAATTGTAATTGGAATGTGGGACATTTCTTTAGTTCCTGCCCTGTATGTTCGTGTTTTGGATATGCTTGGGCGTTCAAAACTTGCAACTATTCATATATATTATGAGCTTATGTAGCTTTGGATCTTTCTAAGCTTTAATTATACGTAACTGTTGTGATGGATCTAATCTGAACTGTGTACCTGATCCCGAATTCTTCTGCTTGATGCAGGGAGGTTGAGAGTCTTAAGAAGCCTTTTACACCTCCTCGCGAGGTGCATGTTCAAGTCACCCACTCAATGCCTCCCCAAAAGATTGAGATCTTTAAGTCTTTGGAGGGTTGGGCTGAGGAGAACATTTTGGTTCACCTGAAGCCAGTTGAGAAATGTTGGCAACCACAAGATTTTCTGCCAGATCCTGCTTCTGATGGATTTCATGATCAAGTCAAGGAACTGAGGGAGAGGGCAAAAGAGATTCCAGATGATTACTTTGTTGTTTTGGTCGGAGACATGATCACAGAAGAAGCCCTTCCTACTTATCAAACAATGCTTAATACCTTGGATGGAGTTCGTGATGAAACAGGTGCAAGCCCGACTTCTTGGGCTGTTTGGACCAGGGCATGGACTGCTGAAGAGAATAGGCATGGAGACCTTCTCAATAAGTATCTCTACTTGAGCGGACGAGTAGACATGAGACAAATTGAGAAGACAATTCAGTATTTGATTGGATCCGGAATGGTAAGACCCTTGCCTCTTAAATTAGCAGCCTTGTATCTGGATATAATACAAGAAGTAATTTTATAAAATAGATGCGCATGCAGACACTTACTCTCAAATTGAACCCTTTGCAGCTTAAGCAAAGGGATAATTCAATTCATACAAAATTTGGGATTTAGAATGATGAAAGTCTACAACCACTGATACTTGCATGTGTGCACACACTTAGGCACATAAAAACCACACACAAACACACAAGATTCTGTAATTGTGCATGCACGACTGACATATATTCTTTTTTCTTTTTGTCTGTTTGGTATTTCATCTTGTACATATCCATGCCGCACCTAAAATTGCCTTTTGTTTCCCTTGATATCCATTCTCTAAATGTAAGAGGTCGTGTGTCGTTCTTCCTCTGCTTGTTTTAGTCTTTGATATAGTAATATCATTTCAAAACAAAGAGTATGAGTTATTTTGATTATCTTTACTCCCAAGATGAAGGGCTGCAACTAAACAAAAGTAATGTTATAAAAAGTAGTATATAGCAATACTAAAAATATGCGAGATTATGGGGTCGGTTACCTAAGGTGTCATCTATTTATTCCCCTTCTATTCAAATTCATAAAAATGGCCCAAGATAAGATGCTCTTAAATTAATCTTTTCTCTTTTTTTTTTTTCGGGTATCATTTTATAGGACCCCCGGACAGAGAACAGTCCCTACCTTGGTTTCATCTATACTTCATTCCAAGAAAGGGCAACCTTTATTTCGCATGGAAACACTGCTCGTCATGCCAAGGAGCATGGAGACATGAAATTGGCTCAAATATGTGGTATAATTGCTGCTGATGAGAAGCGCCATGAGACTGCCTACACCAAGATAGTGGAAAAGCTCTTTGAGATTGATCCCGATGGAACTATCATGGCTTTTGCCGACATGATGAGGAAGAAAATCTCTATGCCAGCTCACTTAATGTATGATGGCCGTGATGATGACCTTTTTGAGCACTTCTCAGCTGTTGCTCAGCGGCTTGGTGTCTACACCGCAAAGGACTATGCAGACATATTGGAATTCTTGGTGGGCAGATGGAAGGTTGATCAGCTAACCGGACTTTCAGGGGATGGGCGGAAAGCTCAAGACTATGTTTGCGGGTTACCTCCAAGAATCAGAAGGCTGGAAGAGAGGGCTCAAGGACGTGCCAAGCAAGGACCCATCTTTCCATTTAGTTGGATTTTCGACAGACAAGTACAGCTCTAAGTGCAAACTCAAATAACATCTCCAGTTTCGCTGCTTGTCGTATCCTCACACAACGATAAACTAGAGGTATAAAATTTCCAATCAAGTTTTCTCGTGTATTGGTTTATTGTTATGTGTGAAGAGAATCGGTGGTGGGCGAGCGACTATGCCTGAGGTTGTAGATACAGTTGTTTCTCATGTTGTGCCATTAGATATGCGGATAGGGGCAGCTGCGGTTTCGTTGTTTATGTTTTTTTTTTTTTTTTGACTGTTTTTCTCTTTGTATGAGCTTGTTTTCTTTCAATAGTTTGTCTGAGTGTAAGCAAAGCAAATAATCTTCATGGCAATTTTGATGGTGGTGGTGACAATGATAATCATAATCTCTGCTAGTTCAATATGGATCAACTCGCTGTGATAATAATAATTGTCATGATCAGATTCCAAAGTCGATTTTATATTTTGCTTCTAGCTGTTCTTTTAGGGGATGTCTAATACTACTGCCATGGGGACAATAAAAATGTCATGAAGGTCCACTCTATGTAACAAGTTTTATGTTCACTGTTATGATTATGTGTGAATACCATTCAACGTGTTGTGAATTCATTTTCAACTATCGTTACAATAATAATGTGATACAGATGTGTTACGTTATTTATATGTGAAGTAAAACTTCCGCATCTGATGTATTACGTTATTTATATGTGAAATAAAAACTTTTATATACAAAATAAAATGTAGATACACGAATAATGTGATATGTTTATTCTATTTAATATTTTTTTTTTAATCATGGATTGGTTGTCATAATTTTTTTTTTATATCATAAATCTTTGTTTTTCACAAAAATCTAACCTTAATTTTATTTAGCCATTGAAAACTTTTAATCTATACCTAATCTTTGTTTGATTATATTTTCAAAGAGAACCTGATAATAAACTAATAAAGTAAGTTTTCTAAAACACATCAGACTTTGAGTTGTATCAAGGCTTCAAGGGTGGCTAATTACTGAAAAAAAAAAAAAGTTTTTACAAATTAAAACTAGAACAAAATTTAAATCCAATATGAAATTGGATACCTCCCTTCAATAAATTAAACAAAGAGTTTACGGTGCACTTGTTTTAGTATTTTTGTACTATCCTATCCCTATCATACTTGAAATACATATTTGTTTATGTATTCTGAAAATTATATTATATTTAATTATTTTTAAACCTCTTAGGTTTGTTAATTTAACTAAACACCTCAAAAAATTTTAGAAATTGACAAAAACACCTCCACATTTGTCAGATTCCAGCCACTACTGCTGGAAGGTCGCTGGAATCTGGTATAATGGCACATTACCGATTGGATCTGGCTGGTAGTGCGTTGATCTAGTTTTTTTCGGCGAGATCCATTATGGATCTAGTTGAAAAAGGCCAGATATTTGGTCGTAGCTAGTCGTCAACGACAACTATATCTTTGGCCATCGTTGACGACTAAACGCGGTCAGATCTGACCGTCAACGGCTAGATCTAGTTATAGATTTGGCCTTTTTCGGTTAGATCCACGATGGATCTGGCTGGAAAAGGTCATATCAGCTCACGAACAGCTAGATCCAGCCGGTTATGTGCCGATACGATGACTCCAGCCACCCTCCAACGCTGTTGGCCGGTTATCGGTATTTAATAGGTAAGTAGGGGTGTTTTTATTAATTTTTAATATTTTATTACATGAATATTTAATAAATTAACAAACATAGAGAGTTTTTTTTTGTTAATTTTTAAAATTTATCTCGCAATAACCACCAAACTCTTACTTTTAAAAAAATCTTATGCAAAATAATAAAACAACTAAAGATTTCCAAAAATCCTTACAGCAAAGTCAAACACAATCAAAACTAAGTCCGAACAAATATTTTCGAATCAGAGCGTAACGAAAAGATTTCAAATATGTTAAGGGTATTTTGGGTATTAAATGAGGTATATAAAAAAATAAATGAAGTGTATTAAATAACGAGGAATACCGATATAATTGCTAAGGATATTTTGGGTATTAAATGGGGTATTTTAAAAAATAAATGAAGTGTATTAAATAACGAGGAGTACTGATATGTTTTATTGGGGCTAAATACACTGTCTCTTTTTTAATTTCAATTATAAAAAAAAAAAATAGTTGACTTAGTTAGAATGAATTTTATAAATCCAAGCCATGGTTTTGGCCACAAATTTTAGGCCGAAGACAGCTAATCAAATTGACAAAAAGTAGTTGTTCAAATTGTCAAGATTTTTAACCCACCAACCGACTAAATTGAGAACCGAATTTATTTAGGCCCCACGTTTTATCAAATTGCCCATACTTTTTTCTTTACTTTTGTTTTGCTATTATAGTGTGACAGATCAACATGCACTTTTGCTACAAGATTATAGTACTATTGAACATTATTCGTAACTAGTGATGTGTTTGATGCTTGATTTTAACACCAACTATTTACATATGTAAAATACTAAGCAAACTTAGAAGTCACACGTAATATGGGAATATCGAATTAAATAATGGATGAAAAGCAATATTTAAAGTGGTTCGGATGCTAAAAAAGCGAATCTTATATCCACTGCTATTGTATTAATAAGAGAGTAAAGTCAGGTTGCGATCAGCGAGCTGAGTTACAGTTTAAAGATAATACAGAGAGAGAGAGAGAGAGAGAGAGAGAGAGAGAGTAAGCTATTTCAGAATAAAATTAGCTAATCCCGTAAAGGAGAGAGAAAACTTCTATTTATAGTGGGAGAGTTCAAGTAGTGATTACAAAATTTGCAAGTGGGTAGGTGCCGTGCAAATCCTTCTTTGTGTCCCATTGGTTACCTACCTGAGGGATTTCCTCGACTTGTGCAGGGTTTGGACATGTGGGCGATTCCCAACCGCTTGCAAGCCTGGCGCTCACCTACTGCGCTGACAGGAACCATGCCACTTGTGTCATTGCGCGACGTGGCTGCACCTAAGAGGCAGAGAACCTTCCTGAGCTCTGACCGGCCCTTGTTGACGAGGCTCCATGTCAGCCTTACCTTTTTAGGCATAATAAAAGTCTCCCAGTTTTTAAGGTTTAAGGATCGAACCTTGAGAACTTCATAATTATGCCACGATTTGACATGTCCTAAATGATGCCTGATCGAGCTGACCGGGCTACAAGGAGGTTGCAGCACACATCTCTACTAGCGGCCTGAGATGGTCTTCTTCTGCAAAGTCGACGACCTGGATTAGACCTTACTCAGTGCCATATCGATGTGCCTCTTATCTCAACCGACATCCGCGACCTAATAGCACTTAACATATTTTTACCAAAGACAAGGAATCACATTGTCCCGTAACCGATATGCGAAGAAGAGTGTTCTATCCCAACGACCTCTTCACATGTTATCCATTGCGCTTGACAGCTAATCCATTAATAAAGTAACCGTTATTTTGACAGACATGACCTGTGCGCAATAAGTGCCAGCCATGCGCATTAAATGCGAGCCATGCTGAAACGACATTCTTTATCAGGGCATTAATGCAGATGAGAGCGCATTTAATGTGGAGGAGAGAATCGAGCCGTTGCTCGGTTATTTCAATGGAGGGAAGCGACGATTGAATTTCTCGAAGTGTGACAGTTACTCATTCTCGCCGATTGATGACACGTGGTCGCGATCAATGGCGAGAAATGCATTCCGCCCAAGCGTCACTTGGCTTAGGGAAGACTAATCACCACTTTCTCCACTATAAAACCCCAGGCTCGCTTTAAGCAATGTCAGAACACTCATATTTTTAGAGAAAGTAAAAGGCTCTCGCGAGACCAAATTTTCCATTCTCAAGTTGGTGCGCACTTTATGTTCATAGTAGGAAGTTTGATCCCCACAACCAAGAGGTAAGGAAGATCCTTCCATTACTTTTCTTTGTCTACTTTGTAGATAGCTTATCCAGGCGATAATGGTGGGTGTGAATCTATTTAATGAACTTTCATGGTGCGTGTTTATGGGCAGTCGAATGGAGAATGCTTTTTATTTCATAAGGAATAGGTTTTTTAGGGCACGAATCTTTTGGGGTGGTCCCCAAGGATTTTTTATGGTTTTTGGTGGGTTTAAGGAAGATACATTAGGGTTTTTGTTCTTTTACGTCATCGTACAAAATTCTGTACGAAGAATGAGTAATCTCTACGTGTTGCCCTTTTTCAGACCGTAGGAGAGATAGATGCCTCAGCGACCAGAACAAACGAGGGGACAAGCTCGCAGGCGCAGGATGCCCCAACGGGTCTCGTGCAAGATATTCTGTCAGTGGCCACCTGGGAGGAAATACAAAGGGTTGTAGACCAATACGCACTTAGCGTAGACGTCTATCAGTATAGGTCATATACAGCTCGGAATCCCTTAAAGGGGATGGCCGCGATCTCCAAGGTGATATTTAAATGCGAGGTGCTAATACCCTTCCACCCCTTTATTAGGCCGATCCTCAATCACTTCGAGGTTGCACCTCTGCAATTGATGCCGAATGCGTATATGATAGCCATGGCTATGTATATCGCGTGTGACAAAAACGGCCTTAACCAGTTGACTGCGTTGGAGCTCGCTTGCTCTTATTATTTGAAGAAGAGCAAGGACAAAGATTCTTACTACCTCTCGAAGCGATCTATGATCGAGGGAGGCATATTTGGTTACCCCAATAATGTCGGGGCATACGAGACTAAATTTTTCTTTTTCCATTACGATGGCATCTGCCAATTTAGGGAGCCGAGTAAGTCTTCCCTTTTTTTACTTAGTGAACTTTTTCTTTTCCTTTAGTCTTTGCTTTCTAACGATCTTTCCCGTTTCTTCGCAGGAAACAAGACGACCAAGTTGATGGCTCTCATTGACTTCAACCGAATACTATCATTCGATAACCTGCCCGAGCAGAGTTGCGACGCGAGACTACTCTTGTCAACTGCCAACTTGAGGAAGTAAGACTTCTTCAATTTTGAAGTGACCCTGGAACCCTTACTTTGTAAGTGTCCGCAGTTTTAGAAATTTTTTTCTTTTGCATGCAGCGAACTCTTTTACTAACGATACTTACATGCAGCAACCATGCCACCCAAAGTGCCAAGATCGTTAAGAGCTAGAGGGTTCATTTTCCCTGGGTCAGCGCCATTGAACTAGCTGAGGCAAACCCTAGCATCACCCCTATCGGAGGAGTGTAGGTGGGGACGCAAATACCCATCGAACAACTAGCAGAAGCTTCTCGGCCTGTGGTTGCTCGCCCTAAGCAGAAGACCATGGGCCAAAAATCTAAGAAGAGGAAGCAGTTACGGCCCAAGGTATCAAAGTCGAGCTGGAGGGCTTGGGGGTGCAGCTTGGGAGATCGTAGCCTTATTAGGCTTTTCGCTAGGGGGGACCTTGAGGCACACGATCGGTGTTACACTGGTCCCTGAGTGTCCGCACAGGGGATAGGGAAGGCCGCGACTCTTGGAATGAGAGTAGGCAAAGAGCCGATTAGCAAAATGCCATCTGCTTCAGGAGCTGGCACACTTGTGTTGGATTATATGGGACAACTTCTGGAGCACTTGCAGCCGGTGGTGTGCACCCTCTTGGAGTGCCAACTTGCCAAGG